ATATATGTTCTTTTAGCAGTGTATTATAATCCTTAGCACTGTGAGTTTGATGCTGGTGTTTGTGGGACCAGCTTGGTGTTTGCTGTGGTATGGCTCTCCTGTTGTTGGGGCGAGCAGCTTCTGAAAGATGCTTAGTAAGTTACTGACTTCTTTTATATGAAACTTATTTCCATTATTGGTGTTTTGAAGTATGTGAAACTAGAGCTAGATTCTTCTGCTTACCTTATGCAACCTTTGCTCCTTGAGTAATCTCCTTGATTTCCCTTGGGCTGTGTGTGGCAGCTTCTCACATGAGTAAGTTCAGAGCCTACTTGCTTGTCCCAGTTTAAATTAATTTGTATGCTGAGCCATGCAGGTAAGGGCAAAGAGTATATTCATCTTCTCAGCTGCTTGGTGACCAGGATGCTTGAGGAAGAATTCAAACAGAAAGAGCTGGTGCTACTGAGATGGGAAAACTGTTATCGTGCAGTCACCTCCACAGCGTGTTCGTCTTGGATTATGGCAGTTACCAGCCCTGGGAGGTGCTGTTTTATTGAGTCATTAAAATCTGTGCCTTTTCCTCTGTTACATCTTCGCCAAGATACTAATTTCTCAGGGCTATATTTTTTATGACCAAGAAAAAAGCTACTCCTCTGGGAATTAGACTGATGTTCTCAGCTCATGTCAGAGAACATGCACAGCAGTCTCTGGGTAGCAGGGTGGGACTTGGAGCTGAGATCTGGAGAGGGAGAACGCTGATATGCTGCACATGGTGTAATTTCTAAATAAGCATGGTGGATCTGATGTCTGCCACGGGAGACAAGTCATTGGGCTGAAGGATTTTTGGCCTGAACCAAAATAATTGCTCTCACACTGTTAAAACGAAACACTAGAAAATTATGAAAAAGTAGAATTCTGTTCAGCATTGTCTGTAGAATGTTTTCTCTTAACTAGTGGCTGTCCTGACTTGCTGTGTTGTCATATCAATTGTATTTCTTTCATAGATCTTCAGCTGGTTGGTGGCCTAATAATGTTTTTAAAAATGAGTTTTATGGTAGAGTTAACAGCTGTGCTTTTCAGGCATGATTTTTTTTTCTTTCAGAAAAAATATGACAGGCACTTGTAAACTGTACATTTGGTAAAGTGAAAAATATCCATGAAACAATGAGCCAGCAGAGGAATACTGCATTCTGATCACCAAAAAGGTCTGCACATATTTTTTCCATGTGGAGTACATGCAATGCAGGAAACAGTTCATGATATGGCAGAATGCTCGTTCTCCTTCTGCTCAGTACTTGGAGTGTATGAGAAGAGAACAAAATGGAATCTCTAAACAAAAAAGAGAATGATAGGTTTCTACTAGTAATTTTTATTTTAGTTTCCTAGTGCTCATCACTTAACATGATGAGGAAATTGAGTAAAATTACCAGAAATTATTTTCATTCAGTGCTTTTTAGTCTTGGCATATTTATGAATATTTCATGCATGATTTTTTTTACTATTTAAGATCTATATTTAAAATTTCATACTCAGCTTTAAAGTTTGCTCTGACTTGAAATATAGTAGTCTTTAGAAAATAGGTTTAACTTTCTTAAAAGAAGAAAAAAACCCGAAAATTATAAAAACCTGAAAAGAGAAACTTGTCTTAATTACAGAGAGAGGATTTTGCATTTCTTTTGAAGCTGATTAAGTTGTTTTTTAAATGAAAATCAGCATGTGTTTTGGGCTCATTCCAGTGACTTAGTGGACAGAAGTGTAAAATTAAGGAACCTGTTTGAGTTCCTCAGGTGCTTCAGTAAAACGTGAACCTTAGAAAATCAGACCTCTAAAGATAAAATAAGGTTTTAAAGACTAGATTACTGGCTTTCCTGGCCTGGCTGAGACATACACAGCAAAGCTTTCCTCTGGCAGCCGAATTGGCGAGAGCAGACCTGGTGCCCATTACGTCTCACTGGTGGAAAATCCTGCATTGGAGATGAGCTTATCTTAAACATAAGGGAATTAGTCCAGCTTCCATTTAAATCACTGGCAAAGCTCTGGCTATATTCAACAAGGGAATGGCTGAGGTAGCAGGAACACAAAACCCTGTTTCTAGGCCTGATCCCAGTTTTTCTTATATGCCCAAAGCTCATGCTGAGTATTGTGGTCACTTTAGCAGGATTAAGACCGAGCAGATTGTTTGAGCAGATTTATATTGCTATACATTGTAAGAAGTACTGATACAGTTCTCAGTGATGTACAATTAATAAATACGCATGTTATAATACAAGACACCTGTTGACAAGGTGAGATTGTTCCAATCAAATTGCTCAAGTGTGATAGAATGTCACGTACAATAATTAGCTGAATAGCTCTTCTGTTATCTGCAGCCCTCTTCCAGCAGAGCACTTGGGCATGTGTTTGCCATGAAGCACCTGACTACCTCCATGAAGTCAGTCTGACTGCCCTGCTGTATGTGGAGCATGTGTTTCGGAGAAATAAGGCCTAAATTAATTGGAGTCCACTGTATTATGCCTGTGGTGTGTGTTCTCAGTCCTTTGGGAAGTCAGTCACGTCCAAATGTGACACTTTGGTTTCATCATCACTTCATAGGGAGAAACACCTGCAGTGCCTGTCACTTTACACTGGGTGGGTTTCAGTAGCAATCTTGCACACTCATGGGTGCCAGAAGGTTATATTTGTCACCAAAGCAGTGCCAGGAGAGAGGTGTGATGGTTCAGTGTCAGCCCAGACATGCAGGGAGGCCAGTGGTTACCTGTGGGTTGTGAGTGTGCGTGTGAACGCCTGGGGCTGCTGATGGTGGTAATGACTATCTCCTTGCTATGGATGTAATCAGTGACAAAAACATACACCTGAACAGTGTGTGGAAGGTCAACATTTTTTTGCAGAGGGGAAAAAAAATTAAACTCCAGCCCAAAAAAATGTAACGTGTCACCTTCATTTAATGCTTCTATAGTTATCACAAAACAACAAGAAATATAAATATTATGTACTGAAGTAACCAGTATTAAATGTATGGGTGTTACAATTCACTGACATGGTTTTTACTGAATTTGGGCATGTGCATAACTCAGGTTCCTTGGCAGGATTTTGAGGAGAGGAGGGGAGGTGAAGATGGTAACATAATGGACTGTCCTCTACTAATGATCTGAGGACCAATTAAAAAGTAAAATAATTGTCACATGACTTAAAAAGCCAGGTGAGGAAAAGAACACCCATCATGTAAAGATGAGGCATTAAAATAAACCATGCTAGAAAATAATTAGCCATTTGAGATTTGAACTTGCCACCCACTGAAAACAATGGCAAGAATCCCACTGAATTAAATGCCTCGAGCCCTTGCACGGGCCTCATTTGATGATATTAATAGAATAACATATACGCCAAATAATGCTGTTATTTGTCAAGTAAATTATTCATCAGATCAATCATCCTGCCATTTCTTTTTTGGCAGAGCTCCCACTGAAGTCAATCGGAGTATTGTCTGAATTAAAGTCTTTTAGGACTGGGCCCAAGGTTATGCAAAATGCTACTGGGGGCAAATTATTTATCTTCCTTGTGTACATAAACCCACATGCTGGACAATAGTTTGTCACCCAGGGTACTGTGCCTTATGATGCTAATTGTTCTTTCACTGATGCTGATTATTCACGCATCTCTCTTTAATCTACCCGTTGCCCCCTCGATTTGATCCTGTTAACGTGTGTATGTAACTTAAAGCTTGGTGGCTGTATAACCCATATTAAGCTGACAGCAAAGTTAACCTGTATTGATGTCCATGGCCATCAGCCCTTTGGGTATGCTGTCTTGTCCTGTGGTGTCCTGGGCTCTTGTCTGACCTTGGAAAACTGCAGGATGAGCCAAGGACTCAGAACACAGGGCTTCAAAAGTGACTTGTTCTCTGCTTTGGAGTTCAGAAGCCTGATTAAATGGCTGGTTTGTTCTTCCAGTTTGGGTTTTTTTAGTCTACAAGTTAAATGTTCTGAATCAAATTGCTTTTTCTTCAAAAGAGTGAGAGTTATCTCTTATTGTCTTGATAAAATACAAGCAAATCGTTTAAAGGATTTGCACTTCTAGCTATTAAAATACAACTCGGGCAACTTCAGCACTGAGTTCAGCCTCTCATTACTACCTATGGGAATGTATAATGGTTAAATTAGCTGCAGGTGGGCTCCCCCGTTGCTCCAGAAGCACATTAGAAGCATCTTGAAGGTTGCAAGTAACCTTAAAGAAATCGCACATAATGGCCTCAAACAATAGTCATTCTTGTAGCTCCTAACGTGCTCCATATGCCTGAAAGGTACTGTGCAAATGAGGCTCTTTGTGGGAGACCGCTTGGGTTTGGCTTCTCTGGAAATGGAGTGTTTGTGTGAAATGGAAGATATTCATGGGCGTTGAGGGTAGTTCTGTTCTCAAACGTGTGGTAGAGCAGCTGATACCGAAGCTTGCTTAGGGCGGTGAAAAGATCGCAGACCAGCTCTCTGACGGTGACAGTGGCTGCTCTCAAGGTGGTGTCATCCCCAGGAGGGGGCTATGTCCCCCAGACCATATAGGATAGATCTGCCGCTGGCTTTTGTCCAAATGAACAATTTATATCCGCAGATGGTATAGAGAGATGTATCCTGGTGTAAAGTCTCTGCTGGGACTGTTGGCTGGAGTTAACACTTGTCTAGTGAAGACCCTTCCATGTCATCTGCTAGGAATTTCGGAATCGAAGCAAACCGTGCACCCTGCAGCGCTCAGGGGGTTTATACCTACTGCTCTGACTGCTCCTGTACCTGTTGTTACCAACGACCACAGGCTGCGAGCGCGTCTCTCCCTTGGTGCTGATCATCTTTCTTTCGGGACTCTTTCCACTGACCTCGGTTCGCTCCCTTAGTCTGCGTGGCCCGCAGGGACCGCACCGCTGCTCTTGGAGAACTTCCGTGTCGGTGTCCCGCGGGGCCGGGCAGCAGCTCCCCCCGAGGCGTGTCACGGGAGCTGTGCCAGGGCTCTCTCCCCTCTCTCCCTCCTCTCCGGCCGCGATCGGGGGGCGGTGGCGCCCCTCGTACCCCGCGGGGAGGGGAGAGGAGGGGAGGGGAGGGGCGGGCGGCGGCGGCGGCCGCTCCCGCCGAGGAGAAGCGCGGGCGGCGGGCAGGGCAGCGCTGCCGCCGCCGGGACCGGCACCGGGACCCGGCCCGCGGCCGTGTGCCGGGCTGCGAGATGGCCGCCAGCGCCGTCCTAGGGCTGTGGCTGCTGGCGGCGGCGGGGCTGTGCGGCGGGGCGGCGGCGGGCAGGTCCCCCAGCTGCCACGAAGTGCGGACGGCGTTCCAGCTGCGGCAGATCGGGCCCCTCAAGCTGGTCCCCGACGTACCCACGGCCGGTCAGTACCGACACACCTGCGGGGGGCTGCTCCGCGAGCGGAGGGGATGCGGGGGGCTCGGGGCTCTGCCGCTGCGAGCGGCCGGTGCGCCCCCGGTGCCTCCATCCAGCCCGGCTTTGCTGCCGGCGCGGGGAGCGGAGCGCGTTTGGAACGTCGCTTGCTAAAACAACTAAAAGATTTTGTAGGAAGAGCAGACCGGGATGACTCCTGCGGTTTTACATTGTGCAGGTGCTGTTTGTCGGTCTCCACCGTAAGCGCGGTCTGTCTTACCCGCGTGTTTCAGACCTGTGCGGTCCCTTTGCTGAGTACCTGCCGCAGAGGATTCTTCGCGGAAAGGATCTCTGTCGTGGAACTCAAATCAGTAGCCGAGTCGTTAGGGAAGGCTTGTTTTACTGCTCAGATGTGGGGTCCTCGAGCGGGTGGTGAATACTCTCTAAATTCTGATTTGGAAGAGTTATCCTGCAGATGAATTCGGGAGCGCTGTCATAAAGAGAGGCAGGGGTGACACCTTGGAAGGACACAGCCAAAAGAACTTGGGTTTTGCTTAGTTAAGCAGCAAGTCTGCAGCACTTGGGAAAGTTGATGAGCGGAGCGGTGTTCCCTTTTGCCTTTTCACAGCTCCTGAACAATGCCTGGCAGCACTGAAAAAGGGGAAAGTAACACACAGATAATAAGAACAGGTTATTTTTTTTTTGCGTATTCTACAACTACTCTGTAAAATTCATGGCAAGGGGATAAATTGCTTTATAGTATAAAAACGTGATTAAACTCGTGAATGACAATGTATCTGTCTAGATAATAATGGAGTTGCATCGCTCACTTTTACATGTTTTCCAACCTAAACGATTCAGTGAGTCTGTTTGAAGAAAATGTTTACAGGAATCGGAATAAGAAAGCAGAAACTATCAATCTCATGACACAATCTCTAGCTGCCTTATGCCAACAGATGTGTGACAGTATAAGTTTCAGTTTGGGTTGTTGCCTTGTTGTGTGTGTGTGTGTATTTGTTTGTTTGTTTGTTTTTGAGCAGTTCAATTCAAAGCCTGCAGAGTTTGATGGAAAGACTTCTTATCTTAGATGAGTTTTGGATATGTTTTCTGGCATGGGTTTCTGTCCTGGAGATTAAATTTGATAGGCCATTGGGCTGATCTCTTAGGGCTGTGAATGACTGCATAGTGCTGATGATCTTCACTTTGCATGAAGTAGCTGAGATGACACATAGGTGTAGAGTTATCCTTGGGTAAGGAATCATTTGTCATTTTGTGGCAAGAAGAGATCTGCAGGAATGGCATTTTGAAACTTGGTGCTACTGTTCTGTGCTGATAGAGGCATGAGGTCATGTTTGTCTTGGAGAGCTAAAAAAGAGGAAAAATGAGGCTTTTCATCCATTTCGATGAAAGCTTAACCCTCTCTCCTGAGCTCTTTCTGGAAAAAGTTCCTCAAACTTTAAATTGATTGTTTTACAGTTTCTGTGAATCTCTGCTGCTGTAGATGAAACTTAGAGAAAATTCTGCATTTGCAGAAGGTCAGGGTGTAGATGCGGTGATACTTCAGAGAATCCTGGAATGATTTGGGATGGAAGGGACCTCGGAGATCACCTAGTTCTAACTCCCTTGCCGTGGAGGGTTCTTTCATTGTTTTCTTGTGTCATATTGAACTTTCCTGTTGAATAACAAGCTCTTCGAAAATAATCTGCATGAGAGAGGGTAATGTGCTTTTAAATTTTAGCTCATAAAGGTTTCTTTTGAAGAGGAGTGGAGCAGAGCTGCAGAAAGTGGTGCATATTGATCGTCCCTGTTTCTTGAGTATTACTCAGCTCCACCAAAGGTTTTGTGCTTTAATGATGATAGCTTGCCAGGCAGTTATGTGTCCTGTGCTCTCTTTTAATGAGATACTGAAGTGTTTTCCAGTGTTTTCATCTGGCAGCTATTACTAGTGAATATATATTAATACAACCTACCCTTCACACGTTTCTCTCTCACACTGAGGCTCGTTTTATTATGAATTTTAGCAATACACAAATGTTGAAGCGTGTCCCGTGAAGACCTCAAATGTCAGTTAAAGCAGAAGAGGGAAAGAGTGATGGGCAGGTGGGGGTGACACTGGAGAGCAACTCACTTCTGGTCCCGTGGGCCAGACCTGCACTGCACTGGGGTGCTCCTCAGTCCTCAGTACCTGCATGCTGGTTTTGAATTATTTTCTCTAAAGACTGAAACTTTTGCAGTCCTGATTGTTTATGAGATATTTTCAATCACAAGAGTGTTGAAAACCCTTGACTAATCTCAAGCTACTATTTACAGGCTAATACAACAAATCTGACAGAGGTTTAAGTCTTAATGATTACGGAGTTCTTATAACCTTTGGGAGAACTGGCAGCTCAGTTGAGGAGAGAGGCCCAACTCAGTGCTGGGAGAGGGATCAGCAGACAGACTGTCAGGTGTATGTTTTCTCTCCTCTCTTATGGGTGGTGCCCATTTCACCTGTAATAAAATTAAATACTTGGGAGAGTTTGTAGCCTGTACCCTCTTGTGGTGTATTAGTTGTGGCCGCGGTGCTGAAGATGCATGCTGATGGATCTAGGATATGATAATGGATCCTGGATACAAGCCCTATGGGGACTGGTGGACTGGAAGCTGCTTCCCTGTGTTCGCCTGGTCTGCAGCAGGTCACTGGGATTGCGGAGTGGATGGGAGAGGGGTGTCAGCAGTATGTACAGTGAGATGTGGCTTTGGGCAGGAGCTCCCAGCCTCTTGTATAAAATGTAGTGGCAAGGGAAGGAAGAAGACTCCTGAGGAAAAAACGCTTTTCTTTTTGAGGTGCAATGTGACTCTTGCAGCAACCTTTCTGGAAATTGTCACCACCTTAGAGGTGTCCAGGAGTTTTTTTTTAAATTTCTCTTCCACAATTTCCCCCCAAAGACATGAGATTTTTCTGCTTTGGATTCTAGTCTGTTATTGAGGGCAGGGTTAAGGAAGAAGTGTTTGGACATGGGATGGATAAGAGGCCCAAACAGGTATTTTTGAGCAGCAGATCTTCTTGGTCTGTCTCTAACACTTCCTTCTGTACTAGTGGAGTCAGTGCTCCTGTCTGGTACCCCACTTTTCTGGAACAGCAGGAATGCTTCAAGGGTAATTTGCTGCAAATAATAACAGACAGGTTGGTCAGGTAAGGGTACTACTGCCTTGTCTGTGATCCACAGGAAAGGATTTTTTTGTGTCTTCCCCCGGACTGGAAAATGAGGTAATGTGTTCCCGGACTTGTACTTTGATTATCACAGACTGAGCCGGGATGTTTTTGTAGGAGCTCCTTGGTTAGCAGTTTGATGAGAGAGAATTCTATGCTGTCTCCAAGGGTGAACGGCTGTGTTAATCCTGCCAAGGGCCTAAGCCTTTGGTTCCAGGGAGTCTGGATACCTCAGACTTGATGTGTGCTACTACTACTTGATGTGTGCTCATGGTATTGCTCCCAGACACGGGGCCGCCTCGGCGATGCCCTGTAAGCCCTGGGTTGTGTTACAGCATTCCCTGCACGCTGGCATGGGCTCCCTGTGAAGTTCCGGTTATTCAGAGGCTGCTCTGTGGCACGGAGCACAGTGGTGCCTGCCTGGCACTGCTTTCCAAGTTCTCAGTAGGAAAACTGAATGAACCCAACTGGAGTCTGTGACTTGTCTGCATTCAGGCAGTGAATTGGAGCAGAACCAGAATAAAAGTCCTCTTGTGATTCCTTTGGTAATCGTGTGACCACGAGAACATCCTACCCATTTATATATGCTCAGTTCTCTCTCTGGCTGATTGACTAGTGTATGAGCATGCAAAAAAACCCAAGTCTGTAAATGTATGATAAGAGAGAAGAATTGGGCTGATTTCTGGGAAGCAGAGAAAATATTTGTCACTTGTGAAAGAATTCTAGGAACTCTTTACCTTCTAAATAATCATCTTGTGGAGAACTACCAAAGGGATGATTAGCTTTATCTTGCTGCTCTGCTGCTTTACAAAGAGCACAGATTCCCAGGTTATGCTCAGGGATGCACTTCTGAAGGGGAGATTTTGTCCTGTTAAAAGCTGCTTTATTATCCTCTGTCATCCTGCACCTTAAATCAGCAGGAGTGTTCATTACCACGTGTGTGTGCTGAACATCCTATGGCAGAGCTGGACATGCATTAACGATTTATACATTAAGACTGTTTTACTTTCTGCATAGTGACAGGAAAGTCCAAGATTCCTACTAGAAGCTCCTTGATGCATGTGGTACATGTGTTAGACTGGATCTCATTTCATCTCAGCCTGTGGCAAAGCTCCCCATCTATGTTGAGAAAGGAGCATGCCACACGTTATTTTGTTGTTTTTCTCTTAACACTCAGCTTTTTATTTCTATCTTGTTGATGAGAACTCTGTAGTTCCCCTGCTAAAGGTGCGGTAATGAAATGCATTTTGCTCCCAGCAGCATTCTGTCAAAAGCCACTGCTGATTCTGGTGTGTGCCAGATGTGACATGTACTCGCTTTATTGGCTCTGGGAGGTCTTTGCCCCATCAGAGTGAGATGCTAAAATCCTGTTGTGTGAACTGCACTTCATACTTGTGTATCCTGTTCACCTACCTTACGTGGCTGTGTGGGACTACCTTCAGTAGGGTGGATGAAAGGTGCATCTGGGAGCAAAGATTGCTGGGTGAGCACAGGTGTGTTAATGCTTAGAAACTGCATAGGGTGCTTAAGATTTTTAAAAAAGGCACAAAAAATAATCTTGTTTCTATGAGGTTTCTGTTTCTTTTAGACAATCTTGAGTGTAATACAAGTTTGAAATGTCCTTGGCGTTACTTAGTATTTGTTTATTTATGAACACACAGGCTTCTTGTTGGTTTACAGCACAGACTACCTGTTGGAGGGACGGACTGGTCCAGTGTAAGATGGATTCTATTCCCATCTTTGTCACTCTCTGCATAGCCAAGGCCAGTTGTGTCTCAGTTTCCCTGTCTACAGGCTGTATCATGGTGTGTTAGTGT